TATAGGTATGATAAAATACTAAAATTAAAGTGAGGACTTTTGTTGGGTGCTTTTTCCTGGAAAGCCAAGGCCTTCTCCACAACACTAAGTGCAGTACTTTTTCCTCCCAATTAGTGTGTTTACAGCTGCAAAAACTCAGACAACAGTTTCTGCTGCCACTGTTCTGGCAGGTCTCCATTCATATCAGAGAGTTCAATTCTATATTCCCATTCCCCCCAAACATTCACCACAGTTATTTACCATTTTTCCATTTTCTTTTCTTTGCTTGCTCTTTTATCCCATGCTGGAAGATTCCACCCCATCCCCAGTTGGTGGCTCCCTTATTTCCCCCTCATTTCTACTCCTTCTTGTTCTATCTGCTGCTTACTCTTTCCTCAGACGCTCCTTTTTCCATTCTTCTTTCTCCCAAATGTGCTACTATATTCCTCTCTCCGCACAGCAAGCAGGATCTCAACAGAGACCAGTTGACTTTACACAAAGACTGTTAATTTCATGTTACTGCTTTATGTTTGAATCGGCAAGGAAGATAAAAAGCAAACAGGTTGAAGGCAAGATTAAAGGAATCTCTGCCCTCAAGGATATGAGCAATCTGTCCAATCAGACCTCTGGTGAACTGATAATCAGTTCTACTTGCTGCATAAGTATGTCCATTTCTTTTATTTAAATAGATAAAAACAATTTTCACCCATAAACTTTCCAGAACTTCATACTGGGTTTTATATACACCTTTAAAAAATGAACAGGTTATTCAGCATCGTAAGTTATATGACAAACACATGCTAAAATCTTACAGAAACTGAGAAGAGGGAAAACACACATCATGTTTACACATATAGCAGACCCACTGAAAGGCATTCTTCCAATACCCTATTTCTGTTGTTCAAATTAAAAAGAAACAAAACCTTAAGTTTCTGAAGAAAAGTGGCATAAAACAAGAGAAAGATGAACTACTAACAGTGCAAGCTCACAGGAAACATCTCATGCCTCATCCCGACAAGCAACAGTGCCTCTATACTTGACTGGTGTCTTGAACTTTTCGGTATTCACAAATTCTCCAGTAACCGCTGGGTAAAACGAAAAGTGTATCTGCTTGAGACAAATCTGGGTTAGACCCTAACCATTAATCATCCCTGAACTATACTGGAAGACTCACAGATAAAAATGTTACCCAATTAGACTCTTCCTCATTCAGAAGTCTCAATTGAGATTTTGAGTTCAGATCAGTTCTCAATGGAGGAGTCAGTTCCTATCAGAATAATTTAGACCATAAAGGACCTCAAGAGATCATTTAATCCAATCCACCACTCAAAGAAGTGCTATCCTAGACTTTCATCTGCTCCCATTAATAACAATGTAGATATTACTCAGGAAATAAGATGCAGATTACATTCCCATAACCACATTGAACGTATCTTGAGTTAGTCACACTGTTGGCATCTACCAATGAACAGACTGTAGGATTTCTTATTTCAGTGTGTGCAACTTGTCACCAGCCCAAACTGCAATAAAATGTTAAAGCAATAGGCGTTTTCAGAGCATAGCGTTGTTGTTGCAAATATCACATTTTGATTTATTCAGCATTTATAATCAAGTTAGTCCTATTACAGGCACTATATGACGCAGTCTTTGTTGCTTAAAATAATATTTACTCAAATTTTGCATAAGTCTGCTTCTTTCAAAATTTTTTTGAAAATTTAATTAATTTCATTTCTTTTGTGATGTTGTCAGGCAGATTTAACTGGGAGGGACAGCTGAACCATGGATTCAGCGCCAGGTACTATCTGGTCCTAGAAAACAAGTCAGTGAAGACTGTAGTCTGAGGACTTGTTCCCTGTAACTGGAATGGAGCTAAAAGGGAATGGGGGTAACTCTTGGATATCCTAAAGCCACAGCAGAAGAAATTGAATGTCTGCTCATACAGCCAGTAGACGAGGAGCAGCAGAGTAAGTCCTTGCACTTCACACTGTCAGCATGCCTCAACCCAGCCTGGAAGAGTGACCTCCTGGAGGGTCACTGTGCTGCTTCAGTCCCTGGATTCTCTGCCAGGATTGCCGTGAATGACATTATATGGTGGCATTTGTTCCAAGAGGACATTTGTCTTCTAGGAACTGGATAAAGACTGCTGATTTCATGCAGGTCAGCAAGCAACCATCAAAATATTAGTGACTAAAAGTCCTTACCAACTTTTGCCTGCTTTGAACTGGTGACACAGAAGTGATGGGAAAGACTCCATCTTCCATTAGCAGTCCCTAAGCTACCCATTAGATGGTCCTTGACCTGTTACCCAGTCACCCCATCCCACTCCCACCCTATGTGAGTGAACAAGCATTTTTGTTTACAGAAATGTTGCAGTTCTTGGGAATTCAAATCTAAATTCTCACAGTGTGTATTATCAGCACAATTCACACTGACTTCAGCTGGTATTGCTTAGCTAAAATGCTTTGTGACTCAGAAGAGACTTGTAACTTACAGGGAAAAAACACACTGTCTCTAAAACACAAAGCAAACACAGAAGCTGCTTCCAAGGAAATTGGGGAGCAGGGGTGCTGTGTTCAGAAATAAGAATATGGAGCACACTATTGCGGAAGACTATGGTAAATCTAAATAGTTATGTATGGGCTCACTATTCAAATATAAAACCATGTAACTTCAAAACTAGGTAAAAAACTCTTCTGTATCTTTTACAACTGAAAACTGATAACTCAGTTATGGAGAAGGCTTGATGTGAGGCACTTTCACATAAGATCAAGGTGGTTTAATATTGCTTTATATAGCACCCAACATTTTAAAGCAAAAATATACACAATCGTTTTAGAACAAAAAAATGCATGAAATTGCTTTTACTTTTTGGATGTTTTATTACTTTTGTCCATTTAAATGCCAATATATTACTACTACTTCATCACCTCTTAAATTTACTTGAACTTATTAGAGACAACTCCTCTGAACAAGGAAGAGTTCTGCACATGTCAATGCAGTTCAGAACATTACAGATAGGATAGTTTCTACAAACTGCCCTGTTAGGCATCATTCACACTAGGCAAGAGAAGAGACACTTTAATATCCATGAATGTTCCATTTTAAATAAATCCTGAGAAGAAACTACCAGCTGTGTAAAACTAAACAAAAATCCTGTTGGTTTTCAGATGGGAACCACTGGCCACTGCAACTAAAAATGTGTTCTGGAAATTCATCTACTTTTGAAACCCGTGGTAAATTAAAATTTGTCTTTTGTAATACTTAAAAAAAAAAAAAAAAAAAAGGCATTCCCCCCATAGTTCATTTATTACCTCTTTCAATGTTTTTAATAGATTAAGAGCTTTTTCACAGGTAGAAATACTACGGAGATATCAGGTCTGAACACTTAAACGCATAGATGCATACTAATAAAAGACTGTAAAAAAAATCAAGAATGCAAATTAGTAATTTTCAGGTGTAAGGTGTCATATCCTTTGTAGATATTTATATATCTGGAACTGTTGTTAGGTACATACACATCTGTGCAAAACACCTAAGAACAAACAACCAGGTTCCACCTCATATTATAGCACACAATAAAAGATGATGCTTCACACATAATTCCAATATTCTCATTAAATATAATCCTTCTAGCATCAGTTGCTATTATATAACCGAGTTTGAATCCAGAGCCTGTCTCCATTAAAAACAACAAAAAACCAAAAAAAACAACAAATCCCACTTCACATCAGTCTAGCTATAGCGGTATAAATTTCTCTCTCCTATAAATTTACTCAGCTGTTATACAGCAGGGGTTTACATCAGCACATTGTACTGCAATAGTCTAATGGCTCAAGTTGCACCAGTATAAATCCACATTAGAGTTAGCAGTTCATTTACAACGGCTAATCCTACCACCTATCTAGCTACACTGTGGTAGAAGGAGGCTCATTTTCCCCTAGATAGATAAACCTTTCTAGTCTGACATGGCATCTGTAGTATTCAGCAGACAGCATTAAAGCCAAACCAAGTTTTACAGAAACTCATACGATCGTCTACTATATCAGGTCTCTCCTGGTCCTCCTCCCAGCCATTCAGAGGAGGAATTAAGTAAGTGTTCCAAGTCTTCCTCCCATCTGAAACCACTGAACAACCTGTCCAGCAACCAAAACAAGGATCAAAGACAGTAAATCCTCCAACAGTTGCCTCCTGACCTATCCTGGTTCTTCAAGTATACTGACTAGTAATGAAAAAAATAACTCCCCCAAACACCCACACAGTTAAGGGGTAAAATGAAGGTTTTTGCCACATTACAGTTCCCTTCTCTAATCGCCTCCATGAAAAAAAAGGATAAGAAATCCAATTTTTCCCTCCCCTACCCTGAGTTGTCCTTCCTATGCCCAATAAGACCCTAAGAGGAAGATCTAAAGATTTCTCCCACACAAACCATGACTTCCCTCTCTAAAACTTCTAAGGTGTTAAAGTGGTCATGGCTGATTCACCCCTCCTGCTTGGAAGAACGACTGCATCTCCTAGGCAGTCAGTCAGCAAGAGCTGAAACACATTCTGATCATCAGCCTCCATCTGTATTTGCCCAAACCTAAACAATTACCTTGAAAAGTAAGGAAAAAATATATACACAATCAAATACTGTATTGTGATATTATTTGACCACAACCAATGTATTAAACTGCTATACAATGGCAACTATTTTAAATTTCTTACACTGCAGTGGCCTTTTTTTCTGCTCTATGACATAATAAATTAATTATATGCTACCATTCTGTGAAAACTCTTTATGAGTTTACGGAAATGATTTAAATATTTATCTCATAATATTCAAGCAAAAGCAATGGAGAAAAAAATGAAGTCTCTTTAGATTTGATGTATCTTCTCAGCTTAATTAACACAGGCTTTTCCTGTTTTAATTTGCACTTAAGAAGTGGGAACTTTACTCAATTTGCTAATTACTACATTTTCAAGCTGTTTTCTTGAAATAGATGGCAGCCTATCACACTAGGAACCCAAATTTCTGTAGTTACCTCGAATTACATAATTGTCCAGAGCCTCTTCCATTCTTTTCAGTGCTTCAGCTCTATTAGAGCCATAGGTAATCAGCTAAAAAAAAAAAGGGGGGGAGGAGGAGGAATGGTATTTAAGTTACCTAGAAATGAGATAACGTTTGTCTCTAGAATCTGAATAGCATTTAAAATGAAAATGGTTTGTAGAACTTCTGCAGTCACAAAAACATTTCCCGCACATTACTGTATCTGTCCTTCAGAGACTCTCTAAAACATCAAAAGAAAACTAAGATCTCTTAACCCATTCAATGAAAGAAGGCCAATCACTTTTCCTTTATAAAACTTAAAGCATCTAAACAAGCTCTCTCTTCTTCTTTAGGCACACAGAAAATTAGAGCAGAGGTTCAATATCTAGTTGACTCTCCTGACTTCTAATGCCCAACCGACTTCTAAGATTGGGGGTTTTTTTGTTGTTTGTTTTTTTTTACAACTGAACTCTGACTATAATGTCATACTTTAATTTTACCAGTATGTTACTGATGAATAAGAACTAATACTACGAGACACTATCAACCACTTCTTTCACTGCTGCTTTTTGGAAGCCAGAATTATCGACATTTTAGTTCTGGCTAGGTTATGTTAAGAAAGATAGATTGGTATCATCTAAAGCTGAAAGTAATGGCTTCTGTTTAAATCAGAATTCCTTTAATAATCAGAAACCACACGAAAAATAATTATGGTGTCAAAAGATAAAAAAAATTTTTGTTTAGAAGTGACAGTAAATCTCCTCTACTCCACATCTTCCTTCACTTCTTTCATATTCCCTTGAGGCATGTTATGCCTAGCACCTTTAAAATAGTGATTTACCAATCCTTTAATATACTATCCCCCATTTAAAAGATCCATGTATAAAATTAGTGGTTCGTACCTTTAGAATATTGAAAAATAATCATCAACTCACTTTTGAGATCATAGGATCATAATAAATGCTGATATCACTTCCTTGTTGTATGCCACTGTCAACACGTACCTTCAAAAAATAAGAAGCAAAAACAATTATATATTGGGGAAAAAAAAAATATTTCAACATGAGGATCAAATCTACCCAGCAGGCTTAAAACATAACACCCATGCAGCTTATCATGTACATTTTTTCCCCTTGAAGAACTAGAATTATTTGTTTTCAGAGAAGATGGGAGGGGGGAAGGGGAGCATTTCCCTCCACCAGCAAAAATACTTGCAAGTTACTCTCTGCTTTGAAAGAAACATAACTGCAATCTTCAGTTGATAGTCAAAATTTTCTTTTGTTCTCCTAGAATGCACAGTAAATTTGATGTAACAATTTAGGTTGTGCTACACACTCTAAACTTCAACTCTGAACGTATCCAATTCCGATTTAATCCCTGTAATAAAACAGAGTTGTAATTATTTTTCTGACTGACACCTGGCATGAAGGATGCCCCTTACAATCACATCCTTTCTGTATCTATATGTAATCACATCCCCCATGTGCCGCTACAGCCCTTCTGAGGGCTCCAATAGGAATACAAGTAGGGAGCATTCAGCAGGAACTTTGGAGCTCTGCTTATCAGCTCCATAGGAATACTGATCCTGTGGTTTTCATGTCTGTAACACTTTCCTTCTCTGCCTCACCCTCTCAACTGTAAAACATTTTTTTTCTGTTGCTGCTGTTCCCCTGAGGCTTTAATGTTTACACAGCTTTTTCCATGGCTTTGCTTTGTAAGGACACAGCCCCAATTAAAGCTCTGATTCTGCAATATTCATGGAAAAAAATAACACAAGTTCAAAAATTTCTTTTGAAGAGGCTGATTGCTGTTAACCAGCCAACAAGTTAGTTAGTATATTGCTGATTCTTGTTTTCATCTCTCAGTTTGATTTCATCACTGTAGCAATGAGGTTAGCCATATAAAACTTTTCAAATGAGCAATTTCTGGGGAATAAATATTTATTAAATTGCTGCTTTTGAGCACTGGAATCTGAAATATTTTTTAAAAACTAATCAAAATAACTCGAGAGTGACAATCGCATTCTGGGGATCATAAGGATGGAGGGCTCTAATCAAAGCTGTTGAAGCAGCAGGGCTCCGATATACTGCATTGTAAAGGAGGTGGGAAAGAGGGTCCTGGAATCTCACTTAAATCTTCACCTGTGGGAAGGAACCTTTGTAATAAACAGCAGCTCATCTGTCTGCAGCAAGGCAGAAAAAGGTCAACGCAACGGCTGTTAGGCCTTTAATATTTTAATTTAGGCAATTATCAAGGGACCACATGTAGAACCTCTTGTCTACAGAATCCACATGAGGGCATGATGATGACTTTATTATCCAAATGACACAAAAAGATACCCTAGCAGGTGTACTCACTTTCTTCACTAAGAAACACTGACTAGTTTTTATGATGTTATATTCTTTTTATTTTTTAAAAAATGTACTTATTCATATATTTGTGTTTATATATTTATACTTACATATTTATACATTATTTCTTATATACTTATGTTTATTTGCATAGCATATTTATTCATAGGTAAAGGCAGTAGCACTTCTGTAGCATTTTTATCGCATCTTATCCAAATGTGCTCTACCTATGCTTAACTAGGCCCCCCACTACCTATATCAGGTACATTTAACATTAGCTACTGATGAGAAGGTAGTTCAGACATGTCATGATTACAGAAAAAACATGCAGCGCATTTCCCAGCTCCCCTTCTTGTAACTGCTAAACCATCCTTCCTCCCAGCATGTCTGCCTATGTATAGTCAACGCATACGTTCTCACATTCAAATCAGAAAGAATTCATTTACCTACTCAGTCCCAGATAAATCCCTTGCCCATTATATTTTTTGTAATACTCGATAAATACGTGTATAAGACATGAAGGTATGACATACATACTTCACAGATACTTGAATTATATCATGACCTTTGTCTCCAAAGTAGCACCTACAACGTGATTACATACAAGTGTTCAGGAGTGCTTTATATACGCATACATGTGCATGTAAGTATTGATATAAGTATATCATATTTTGACAAAGAAAAAAACATACGAAAGGTGCATAATTCAGACCCACACTAAGCAGGTTAGTCAGCCCTTAAAGTTAATGTAAGGATTCCGAGGCTACCGACTACATGCTCTACCTGCTCTGTGTTTCTGTTCGTATACAACACATACCACTACATAATATACACTTTTTCCTAAGTACAAGGTCCTAAAAAATGAAAAAGTTACAGTAAGAATTTAAAACTGTTTTAAAACTAAACTGCATTATTTCCCTTTTTAAAAAAATCTGGAGTCCTCTGTAGAAGTTTAATTTTCATAAAATAAGATGACTAAAAAAATGACAGTAGAAAGGAAATACATTTACCATCTTCAATTCTCTCTGTGGTGCTTACATTTTCAGAGCCTGGTAACAGTAGGTGATTTTATAAACTATATGGTGTGACAGAACTTAATGAATATTGGATGAAAAAGAATCCCTAATTCAACAGATACTCGCTATAATGTGCACAACTCGATAAACAATAGCAATACTTATTAGACCTCCAGCATTTACTTCTGCTTAATATATTTCCTTTCTTTTACTTGGTATTTAAAATACCAAAGAAAGATCCTATTGTACCCTACAGCTCATTGGTATTACAGGCCCAACACTTTTATTGCTGTTGTACTACCATTACATGTTATTACACCAGGACAACAGTAGACTGAAAGATCTAAAAAAAGCTTAAGAGGAAAAAAAAAAAGCACAATCTACGTGCCAGTCCTGCAATGAACTATTAGTGCATCAAATTCCACCTACCAATACATCCAGGTTCTAGTCTTTTTCAGTTCTTTGCCACATCAAAGTCTTAGTTTTCTCTTTCTGGTAAGAGTCACTGAAAGACCAGACTGCTGATCACACTCGCAAAGAGCAATGCTGGAGCTCTTCAGATAGGGCAGTACATTTGCTATGGTGTGTAAGAGCACTGAACGTGAATGCTCACTATCGAAATTAGTGGTTTTGTGGTTACCTATCTTAAGCTTCGTTATCAAATACGGAAAAAAAAAATTGGTATTTACAAGTACCATGTTCTAAGGAAATTACAGACTACGTGACACAAAAATAGCCAGTATATTCCTATCTGTGGCTAACAAAAAAACCTCCCACACAGCCATATACACCAGTTCCACCAGCTTGAGCAGCTGACACACAAGCACAGGTAGACAATCAGAGCTAACTTCAGACACAGAAGAAATTAATTTAAAAAGCATTTGGCAATACACTACTCATAAGATGAACTCTGTGACACACCACAAGTCTCCGCTAATCTTTTTTTAAGCCAACTTGTTGACAATTCTATAATCTAAAATGCAGAAAACAAACACTGTGGCACAATGGGCCTGTAACGCCGAACTTTTTTAGTCGTATTAGTTTTGTTCTTAGCAGCATGACATTCTCAGGAGAGAAATTAGTTTCACAGTGGCAGAAAATATGTATGAAGACACCAAACCATGAGTGTCTACATAAAAATAGCTGTTCTATTTTTAATACGACAATAGAAGTAAACAGAAGGAGAACAGCCTAGACACTCCATATGAGTTCCTCAAGCCATTGCTCTGAAGCCTCCAGCGTAATTAAAATTTCTTTCTTCGGTACCACGATGGACCACGTGAAGCAATCAGGCATCTCCCACCCTTCATTTTCAATTCACCTCTCCCCCTAAGCACAACTCCCAGCCCACCCCATCTACCTGACAAGTGACAGCCCAATCTGATTAAATGCTTGCAAGGGAGGGGACTCATGGGCCTCCATGACAGGCCAAAAGTGATCACCATGGAGATACATAATTACAGCTGTCAACGCGTCTACTGTCCTGCTGGCATCAATTTGATTGCTCCCAGTAATAATGATAGACAAAGCTTAGTGTGCACTCTCCTGCACCCAATCACTTTATCTATTCCGTGGTCCATTTAGCTGACATGCAACATTCACACAAGCAAATAACAGCAGTAAGCAGAACATTTAAGGCATTTTAATTGTTTTTTCTTTGTATGGATGGCTCACAAGCGCAAATGTTATTACATAAAACTCCTGCTGCAGCATTAATTGAAGAAAGATTTGGTGGGACAAAGACTGTAGGGGGTATAGTTTGTCCATTATCACTTGTACTTTCAACAGGTCTCACGTTTGGAAAATTGCAAATTGCAAAAACTTGCAAGGGCAAAATGTTTGACATCCTGTTAGCTATTACAACGTGGTGAAAACTTCTAACAACCATCGGAGTATTCATTATAAATTCTTATTAAATACACTCTTTGTTTCATTAAAAAAAAAAGTTTAGATACATCCAATGATACCTTTTTCCCTCATCTCCTCTTTAAGATCACATAATGCCTTTTAGATCTTCACAATTTTTTTTCTGCTTTCAGGCTTTGAACACAGCATGAAGCCTGAAAGACCAGAAAGGGTCAGGTCCCTTCGGAAAGTACACGGGCAAAAACAATTTAAGAAGCGAAATAAATCATATATCCAATAACATCTCCACACTTAAGATTCCTCCTGTACTCTTTCACTATTATCCATGCAAGCAAGCAGACTGAATAATCGTATTCACAGATGGTATAGCCTCATCATTCCAGTAACTGACATAGTGTCATGTATATGTGCACTTACGACTTAAGACTACCTTGATTTTACAGGAAGGCTGTATCTTCGTTCTTTACATGTAGCAGAAAACACTGTTTGTTAAACAGCCATTCCATATAGTTAGACTGTATCCTGAAACATGTAATAATCACTGTAACAAATTTCCTCTTTAGAGTCTACAAAGCTAAACAGAAAGCACCAGCAGTTTCTCACTGGTGTCCCCAGTTCTCTGTGCTTAAAGAGCCAACTCAACATTTCACTGTCCTTTCTAATCACGGTATTTTTACTAAAGCTGTGTTTGAAAAACTTAAGCTGAAAGTTATAAAACATAACAAAATATTTCAACATGTAATGGTTTCCTGTTATACTCAATCTGAACATTTTAAACCCAGTTTGGAACTGTACATTTTTAAGCAGTTTTTCAGGCTGCACAAATAAGTATTGCCATGTCCTGTCCACCACCCCCTCCCCCCTGGCAAAAAACTGGAAAACAGGCTCGATTTACAAAGCTGCTGAGCACATATAGTCTCTGTCTATAAAAGAGACACTCAGCACCTATGAAAACCAGAACCAAGTTACTTACACTTGGCACATGCAATGGTTCCTGATACTGAGACAGTTTACCAATGGATGGCAGGCCAAAAGATTTGTAGGGGTCCTGAAATAAAATTCAACATGAGAAAGCATTAAGCTTTTACAGATGCAGAGAAGATAATGTTAAAAAGCTTGAAGTCTAACAGAAACCTCTGCTGGAATAACTTCATTTTCTTCCCCAGAATTATTTGTGTTGAAGTACAGTTCTTCATCCACCTACCCCTGCGACTCCAAATAAAGAACTGGAAGCACATAAATTCTCTTGCATTGCAGTCAAAAAGCAGAAAAGAAGTGCTCTGCACACAGCTACAGTACACCACCAAAATATACAAAGATGACATTTTCATTTGCTACACTGTGCCTTGGAAGAAGGATGGGAAAGTAGGATGGGTAGAGTTGAAAAGAGAGTATAAGGAAAAAAATTTCAGAGATAAAAAGGGCAGTTGGAAATTCAATTATCTTAAGAAATCAAACTGACCTTTATGCCTCTGGAAATCTCCTACATAATGCAATACCAATATTAATTTAATAGGACAGCAAATAAATATATGGCCTACAGAATAACCAAATTCATGGCTAAGTAGTTGGATCCATTACTTACTTATAAACGTGAGGGAATCTAAGTTGAACAAAAAAAAAAAAAAAAAAGCCCAAGCATCAGTTACTCCAGGGTAAAGCCTACTCATACTCAGAATAGCTTCCATGCCAATCACAAGGCACATATTTATTCTTTATCAAAATAGTTCATATAACTAGTAATCAGTAGAGCAAGTTGAAGATTCTGTACATGACACAAAGAGAAAGAAAAAAGCAAAATAAAGATGCCCTGGGTCACAAAAGTCTCAATACTTAAGCGACGGAAAAAACATCTCAAGGTGCTGAATTATGTTTGAAAAGCACAGTTAGCTACAACACTCCTAAAACAAAATGAACAAAGCTAGGCATCATTTTTTTAATTAACAAATCTTGATTTTCATGTATCAAAAATGACAGCAAAAAGATGTTACCTTGAAACATCCCAAACATGCTTGAAAATGGGGTTTATATTTTAGTAAGCTTTTTTAAGGTGAAATAGAGAGTTGTACCGTAATTATAAAGTTATTGTCTTGGAAGGCACTTTGAAAGTTTGTCCTATAAACTGTTGTTTCAGAAGACACGTAACTTGCTTTTTCAATGACCTATTAAAATTTTTTAGTACAACAACAAAAATTATGTAAGCCATTGAATTTCAACTGTCTTTTTAAGTCAACAAGTTTCAAGCACACAAGTTAAACCTGGAAACACTAGTTAACTGTTAGCAAATAACTCCACCACTTCATCATTAAATGCGAACAGAACATATAGCAAATGTCCTTAGAAATAAACCTTAGTTATCTCTTTTACCATTTTTAATTTTGATTTTTGGAAGAAAGCTATGTCGAAATACAAACTGTATTTTTATATGAAAAAATAAAAATTCTACAATTCTACAAAAGCTCATTAACCATTTGTGTTACATACACTAAATCGTGACTTTCATATGATATTCCTTGACTTCACCTTGGCATCTATGCACACCTGGGTATTACTACTCCACAATTCAACCACCTACCCTCCTCCCCATTACCACTCATTTACCTCAGCATAAACTCGACATTCAACCGCCCAGCCGTTGATGGGAATATCAGCCTGTTTGTGCCTGAGAGGGTAACCCTTAGCAACACGGATCATTTCTTGGACTAAGTCCAGGCCCGTAATGCATTCTGTGACGGGATGTTCAACCTGCAAGGTCAAGAACTGTCAGTCAGTAGGTAACAAAAACAACAAAACAAAACAACAACAAAACCCCTCCCTCTCCATAAACAAACACAGATAAACAAGAAATGAGACCAGCCAAAGAAAAGACAGAGAATACATTCCCACCTTGGTCTTTCTCCCCAAAACATTTCTACTTGACAAACTCCAGCAACCACCTTCTTTGCAGGGAAGCCCCCCAAAATAAAATAATGAGCAGATCACAGTAACTAAGAGCAGCATACAAAAGGAATACTATAGAGAACACCTAGGAGAGTTTGGGGTTTTGCAGGGTTGGTTTGGGGTTTGTTTGGTTTTTTTTTTTTTCATTTATTTTACAAATTCAAATGCACCTAGAGATGAGTTCATTTTTCTTAATTCAGAAGCTTTTCCCATTTGATTTTGTTTTGAAAGGACTCGCGCTGTAGCCAGAAATATATTTTAACTGAAAATCTCAAAGTAGCTGATAATCAACCCGTTCTGCTACACTTAACACGGCACGTACAGGAGCTGCTTACATTTTCCATGGAACTAGCCTACCCTGAATCTCACCCATTCGCCTGCTTTCACTAACCTGTCCTGACAAGCGACCAGATTAGCGTAATCTTGCATCAGCGCAGTGTAGCAGAAATGAGCAGATGGATCCTTCAATTTTTTTTTCCCCCTCCAGACTTATCTGTTTAGTGCTTAGCATGCACAATAGCTGGGCTGGACCAGCAGAGTCACTCTGCGCTCTCAGCAAATTGCTGCTAACGGCTTTGGATGATGCTGCCATGGGAATACCCGTCGTTCACACTAACCCAGCATGTGCGTACAAGCATGCACACATGTGCGCGCATATGCACATACACACACGCATTTTTCTTTGAAATGGGGATATAAACAGAGACATTTACTAACTTTAAGAAAATCTTCAACTAGGCATAGTACAGTAAAAAAGCACCCAAAGATAGGAGGGCGCACCATATAGATGAAGTAAAGCATGTTCTACCACACCGAGACAGCTGTTAAGAATTTCCATATAGAATATATGACAGAACTGCCATTTTTATTATAAAATGTTTGTGTTCCAAGGGCCAAAATACCTTAAGAAAATACACTTCACAATGGTTTCTCTATCACAAGATGTCATACCACATACATTTTGTGACACAGGAAAAGGTCAGCGACCAAACCACTTGTCTTTCTTCCTTCAAGTACACTAGTATTAAGGAAAACATTTAGTCATTATAATAATCTCGTGGCTTATCAGAACAAGAAGATGCTTTGGTCTTTAAGAAAAAAGCTTTGTAAAAATAAACAGATGGCATCCATAATTAGCCCTGTGTGTGCTGTGAGTTTGTTTAGAGTTTCAACAACATTTTAAGACGTTTTGACATAATTTTAATGACAAATCATCACTGAAACAAGCATCTATTCTTTGAAGGATAAAAGTGACATTGAAATGGGAATCTGATTATACAGTTTAAGGATGTACCTTTGGGATTCAATCTTGATTCTGCCTAACACATGATATTCTCCAGCATGTCAAGCTTAATAACAGTATTTGGAGAATCTATGAAACATCTCAGTGTCTATCCTGCAGTGTTAAATTGAAGCAATTCAATTTCTATTAGGACTTGAAGTTTCTATCAAAAATCCCTAAGTTTTAATAGAAAGTTACTTATCACACATTCATATTTGGACAACAGATCTTTTTCTCTTATTTTGGAATTTAAATTTTAAAAAATTACCTTCAAGTTTAGATCACATTTGGAATTCTAACATTCCAGATAATTAAAATACAATATTTCTTCTTCTTTTTTTTCCCCCCAAAGACATCTGCATTATTTAGTTATACTGTCATTTTTCTTGGATAGCAATTGGCATTCCAGATTCAATAGCTTCATTGTTGTTTTCAGATTTATTGTTGATGATCAAAATAGGATGGAATGTTTCTGGAAAGAAAAATATTTTTGTTGTTTGGTTCTTATGACTCACAAACATTTATTTAATCCATTCTTCAATACAGATCTTTGACTTGGTCAATATTTTCTTCTGTTTCTTCAAAATACTCCCTTTGTGTCTGCACAAAAAACAGCATTCAGAAAATATGACGAGGAAAATTTTTTGAGGTTTTTTTGGGGGGTGGGAAGAAGTTGTTCTGCTTTCTTTTAGGACTGTGCTTCAACTAGTGCTATTTAGGCATAATGTAGACAGTACCGATTATATCGCTAATTTTGGGGAACCAAATACATTTAAAATGCATTTTAGTATATATTAAGACCATCAGATGACCAAAATGGGGTAGAAGAGAATTTTAACCTTGAAATCGTAGTTGACTTATTTGTAACTTTAACCTTTCACGGAGGTGCACAGCTCAAACCGCACTTGTTTTAGCATTTCCAGTTTTCTTTCGGCAAGGGGACGGCAGGAGTGGGCCAGTATTTTTAGCATTATACAGAATATGCTTCAGCGTACAGTACAAAAGGACAGTAACAAAGCAGTAATGCCATATCCTCGTTCAACAAGCACCCTGCAACAAGGTTTTGGAGGTGCAAGAATCCACCCACAGAGAGATACATGCAGGATCTCAAATTAAAGCTCTAATCTTTTATAAAGCAAGGAAGGATGGGGGGTAGGAGAAGCAAAGAAATCAGACCCCTCTTCTCCTTCCCCTCCCAAAAAAAGAAAACACAGACATCATCATTCCCTCCTTATGAAAGCTCTACAGTAACTGTTGCAGCTATTTGACTAAGGTAATTGCCGTATCTATTTTTAAATCACTTTAAAAGCTAGGCTTTAAATGCCTTCCTCTTACTTTTCAGCCTTCTACTTCAGGTGTCCCTCCTGTTTTGCCTGCCTGTTGTATTTTCTTCTATTAATTTTATGCTATACCTCTTCTCCATCAACAGCCTTTACTTGCGATTTTATGGATGCTAAGTCAAGGACTAAATTTTTAGAGATGAATGCAAGTATGCTCACAAACAGAGCTGAATCACACTCAATTGATCAACTCTTTTAGCTTTGGACCATACTCAATTTTGTAGTCAGCTGATCCAAGATCTTGCCAGTGAAGCCCTAGTCAATAAGGTAAGAGCCAGTGGTGGTATGGTTATATCATAGCGGGTAAATTCACACATTATCTCTGTCCTTTAATGCAAAGGGCAAAACCAGACATGTCTGCAGCAAGCAATCTACAGATCATAGCTATATCCAGGCAGCTGTACCTTATTCTCAACAGGACAAGCAGAAAAATTGATCACCAATAACTCTCAATTAGCTGCCGAAAGTATTACCTTTACTACCAGTTCCTTTACTTATACCAAGTCTGGTCATAAACATTTTAAAACAAGTCATCATTTCGATGCACGTAAGTACAATACATACCTCCTTTAAAAAGTCTTACTCCCCACTTTCTGTGATCCACACACACCTCTTTCTCTGAAAAACACCACTTATATTCCTGCTTTCAAGTCCACAAAGCCATACCTGTTATGGCCAGCAATCTCCATATGGGGTAAAGTGCTTCCCCTTCATACTGGATCTGCTCTTCTTCTGACATCTCACAGCAATCAGATTCCCTGTCAGCGTTACAAGTGTTTTTGCTTCCCTAGCCTTTTCCAGTTTATACAGCAAGAGACACTAGTGGTAAAGCCTGTAAGAAAATAATACCTAAGTCCCAGTTTACAGATGGTGAAGCAGGTACAAAAGAGCTAGAGGAGCCTAACAACATCGCAGTCCAGTTAGCATCCGTCCCCAAAACAGTACGGAGAGGCTGCTAATTCTCCTGCTGTTCTGTGACTGCCAATGGTCTGAAAGCTTTACCATACTGGGGTTCATCCACAGCTACAAAGACAGTCATGCAGTTTTTATGAATAGTGGGAACTAAGAGTTAAATTAGCAATGACTGCTCCCATTATATTCAGGGGAATAATTTCAGGACGCATTTTTCTCAAGACCATCAAGGTACTCAGATCTAATAGCAAACACTTCTGGATACTCTCTCAGATTCCTCTCTTACCCCTGTATGCGTAAGGCATCAAGTTACTCACACACCAGTTGTAGCAGTCAAGCAGACCACAGTGGCCAAGAAAATCTAAATTTCAGTAGACTTAAAACTACAGCCTATGTCACCCCTACTACTATAAGTCCCTAGTTGGTGTCATATACTCCTTTACATTCAGATAAATAATCTCAAAACTAACTTTCAACATACACCTCAGCTTCCAGGAAACATGATTCACCTGGAGTCCCATGCACTTTTCTGCTGCAGTCAAATCCAGTATCAATTGACCCAAACCCACCAACTTACAGATGCTCTTCAACCCCCTTTATTTTGGTAAGTCTGGTTTCTATTTCAGAGAACTGAACAGCAACAGAGGTGCACGCATGTTCTGCTCTTCAGGCATGCCAGCTTCCTGACTACTATGAGCAGGAGCACTCTGGGGTCACATCTTCTTTCTGCAAAATAGTTCACATGTATATGGGTTTTGGGAGCACATAGTAAAAAACAGCTTTTCAGAAAGGCTGCTGGAGAACAGACAATGTTTGGATTAACGTACAGAATGAATGGAAAGCACACAGGAATACATAACAGGCAATCTCCTGTGCTGTCCTTTTCTATAGATACAGTATATAATAACAGTTGCTGTTTATTTTCTGATTTATTAGTATGTGATCAAAGAACTGAGAGCAACCAGAACTACAAAAATTTCCATCAACTAAGATGCTCAGGTAGACTTCTTTTATTGTTTCCTAAGTAAGATGTTGCAGAAATAAGAAGTACTGCACAGACATTTGGTACCAACTAATTTTTTAATTATAGCATATAATAACTTTGAAAAAAATATTTAAACCACTTCCTCATAGGAATCTATCTTCCAATAATCATTGATTCAATTTTCTCAAGTTTCTTTGCAAGGATTTGTTTCTTTATTGTACTGGACAGATGCGGGTAAGAAATCACTTATGCAGCCTATGAATACCAAATCTCTCTTTTCTGTGTT